GCATAAAGTCAAAAATGCTTAAGAACATTAAAGTCTCCTCAATTTTATTTAATATAAAACAAAGTCAATTAATTTAAGAATCCATATGAATTTTCCTTTAAGCTCAATCAAGATTCAATTTAAATTATATTTAGTATTTTTGTTTCTCCTAAGTTTAAGAATGTGATATTAATTTCGATTTACTTTTGATAATTCGATATTTTCGATTAACTTTGATAATAAAAATCCTTATATATGTGAACGATTAATTATTATTGCAATTGAACATGTAAATTTACCATATAATAAAGGAAAATAAATATTAATATGCTATAAAAGATTATTAAATCAAAACCTTTAACTAAATTAAAATAATCTCACCTTACGACTTTATTCTAGTCTGAAAAATATAAATATTCAATAATAATAAAAATTCTTAATAAAATAGTGAAATCTTAGTTCATTATTAAATATAAAAATAATTCTAAATTAATTGATATGGTTAGTTTTATAACCAATAAATTTAAATACATTTATTGATTATGTAACTTCAAGATAAAAATTTATTTAACTTTTTATAAGTGAAAATAAATTTTAAATTTTATTTCATAATTTATTTATTATATGAAGATAGACTATGTTTGCATTTTTTTCAAATATTTATAATTATATAGTAAATTTCATAATTTTAAATAATATGTGTACATCATTACTTTTTAGATATAAAAGCTATTTTTAGAATAATTCTTATTTAAATTTAATTTAAAAAAGTAATGAACAATTATTATTCTATTTTGAACTTCAATTTTAAATTCATAACAATTTAATATATTATATAGTTTCATCATTTTATTCTATCACATATAGCATCAAATTTTTTAATCCTGACCTAAAAGTAAACATCAAAGTAATCAATGTGAAAAGATTTTAAGATGATTAAATATTGATTCTTAATTTGCAAATCAGAAAAATTTTTCGGCCCAGACATATTAATGAAAAACATCTTTGTAGAAGATTTTACAATTTTTTTGATCATTTTCGTATTATCTTTTTATGGTAATAGCATTTATTGAAAGTTAGTTAAATATAATTTAAATTGATTATTATATTGGAAAATGATTAGAATAAAATATATCATTTGGATTTAGAATTTAAATAAAAAAGATAGAATGAATTCAGTGTTACTAATACTTATTTTTTTACAATTATTGAACCACAGTTTAATAGGAATAAATAGAAAATAAGAAATAGATTTACGATTATTTAATTACTCATTGGTTAATTTTCTTTTAACAAAATTCTTATTTATGAGGATAAAAATACCCATACGATCTTTTGTCCATTGAACATTTGATTCTCTCTATAATAATTGTTGATAACAAATCAAAGCTTCCATATAATTTCCTAAATATTCTAAACAGCGACCTACCAAATAAATAACTAGATACCTTTATTCTTGAGAGAAATGATATCGCCAGGATTAATGGAAAGTGCTTAATTTAGATAATTTAAAGAATCCTCGTATTTTTTTAATCTCATTAAGCAATCACCTATTAATTATATTATATTAAATCAACCTTTTTCACATAATGAAATCACATTTTTAGGATCAATTAATAATACTTTATCTTATTAATTTATTGCATCCTAATATTTGCCTAAAAATTTTAAGCATTCACCTATAAATCTAATATATATTAAATTTACCTTCTTTCTATAAGGAGAATATATGCTAAGGATTGATGGCTAAAGCCTTATCTAACCAAATCATTGCCTCTTCATTTTTGTTTAGCTCCATTAGACATTAACCTAAAAATATATATTAGTTTTACCTTTAAAACTTAATGCTTTATAATAATTAGGATTTAATTGAATAACTTTATTCAATAATTCTATGGCCTCTTTATATTTTCCTTATTAACCTAAAGTTAAACCTAAATAAAATTATGACTAATTTACTTTGACCATATAATTAAATGAATTATTTTTAGTTTTCATCATTAATCTGATTATAACTAACTGATGATAATGTTAATTATTCCTTCAAATTATCAAAATTTTTAACCATTTTTATGGTCAATTATGTTACAATTTATATTATTGATTATTTATATTCTGCAAATTTGATGAGTGAATTCAAAAAATCATTTACTTATTTCGAATTCAATTTAAGTAATTTTTCAATAGATAATTAATATTTATTTCTAATTCCTTATGCAAATTTAGAAAATGATTGATCAACAGTTTCTATTTGTTTCTTAAGCTAATCAATCAAATTATCACATTCTAAATTTTTATTCTCAACTATTTATCTAAAATTTTATATTTCTTTCACATCTTCATTATGTTAAGTGTGGTAACCCTCCTTAACACATATACAACAAATCAATCTGGACTCTGTACAATTTCGATTATAACAAACCATATCAATCTCTTCATTGTGATTTTCTCTTTTACAAATAAAATTTAAATCAGATGACTACTAAATCATTATTTATATTAACATTTAATCTAAAAAACCAGACCACTTTGAATGAATAAAAATCTATTAGAATTTATTCAATAGATATTTATTTTTACTTAACTTCTAATTATATAAAACCATAAGCTCAATTATAATTTATATAATGTACATTATTTCTTAAAATAAAATGACATAATTATTATTATACATTTTTAAATAGCTTTCTCATATAAATTATAAAGTATGAAAAGTTTAAATAAACACATAGTTAAATATTTTTCAATCTAAAAAATACATTCCTAATTTTTAATTGAGAAGTTTAGTTGAAATACTAGAAGTAAATTCTGTTTTTAATAGAAGAACTGGACATAATAAAGTTTTTCTTTTTCTCTTTCTTTTACCCTAAGCAGATATCTCTCCTGAAACATTCAAGGAGGAAAAAATGTCCTAAATTTAAACCTTAACTTAAGGAATGGAATTCAATATCGGTGGCTTGCAATCGATTATTATAGAATAACAGTAATTAACTAATTTTACATCAAAGATTTTCAGGAAAAATACTTTGAATTTGAGAATGCTAGTTTTCAAATATATTTTTTATCTATAATCTCTGTATCTTATATAGGATAGTGAAGTTTAAAGTTAAATAATATTCAAAAGATAATAAGATTTCTGGAATAACATAAGATAAAGTCTCTGTTATGATCAATAATCTTGAAGGATAACTGTCGAGAGACAAAATAAAAATATAGATGAATATGAATAGAGTATTATGAGTAATAAAATTTAATTCATATTTATTAACTCAATTTCTTCTTCATCTTTTTTTTTCAAGATTTTCTTGTAAATTAATTTTTGTTGAAAAACAAAATATAAAATCGTCACATCAACAAATAGTCTAAAATGACTAAAAACCTTCTATCTTTAGACAAATTACCAAAAAATACACTACTGGAATCTTCAATAGGATTGGAATCAACTTTAAATTATTTAGTTGATTTATCTAAAAGAATAAAATAGATTTTGCTGTTGAACTTTTTAATTATGACTTTTTTTTTCATTATTGTATAAGGTTGGGAATAAGAATAATTAAGACTTGATTTTACATTTCTAGTATTCCAATTTCAAATAATTTTTCCAGACATAAATGTCTATTTATAATTAAAAAAAAAGAATATATAGTTGATCGCTTTATTACCAAACAATCATTGTGTCTGCAATATTGGAAACTCCACAACCAACATCAGAATAATTAATTGATTAAAATCCATTTTTGGTTTTTTTCCAAATAATAATTTTTAATCATAACCTGTAGAAACAAACTCTGAATCTTATTTATTGATACTTAGACCATTTATGGCTTTTTGATGTCTTTATAATTCATAATCAAACTCAATAGATTTCAAGTTAAGAATATTTTCAAAATAACAATTACGAAATCCTAACTGCATGATATCAATTAATCTTCTTATTTATTAAAAATACACATCTTAATCGCATTTTATGAACAGCTAACCATGATTTTCCTGATTAATTAAATGCTAGGCTATAACATATTTTTTATTTAATTTAATTAATGAGTTGATATTATAATTCTATTTTCTGTAATAAAAATTCCCAAATAAAAAACTTCTTAAACAATATTTCAAATTTATCTTATTTTTCTTCCTTCTTCATAGAGTCTTTACATAGTATTATTTGTTCTATCTAGGAAGAACTTACTTTTTTAATAGAATCCTTCTATCTCTTTTTAAAGATCTAAGACACTTAAGAATACCGACCTTACTAAATTTCTATCTTACACCAACTTAGATTTTGTTTTTATTAAATTGCTAATTATGAAGTTTCTGATCAATCTCTAAATAAAAATATAGCTTAATCCAATTTGATCATTAATTCTATTCTAAATATTTCTAATTCCCTTTGAAATTTTTGAATCAAATTATTAATTGTCATAATAAATTCAGATATTTCTTAAAGCATATTTTGTTACATATTTTCAAAAATTACGTTATTGTCTTATTACCATTGGTTAGCTTTTATTCCTTCTTTTTCTATATAAATTTATTTTATCCTTCTCCATTTCTACACTTAAAGTCTATTTCTTAATTGAAATTTTTATTCATTTTATTTATTCTAAAATTATTAATATTTATAATTATAAATTTAACCTTTAAAAAAGTATAATTTATTTAACCAAAATCATTCCATGAATAAATGAAATTAAAAGTCTGCTATCTAAAATTTTGAAAAAGTGGTATTATTTATAGTGAATAAAATTTCATTTAAATCAAATTTCAAATAAATAAATAATTAATTTCTAATTCTAAATTATGAAACAAAAAATTCGAAAATGATACTTCTGAATGATAAATAATTACAATGAATAAACTGAAAATATTATTTCTCCTAAAGAAAATTATCAACTAATTTTCAAGGTAGATGGATTAATAATACATAATACTATAATCGTATAATTTTATATCAAAATGATATTAATATAAGCAGATATCAAACCATACTGAATTTCCAAAAAGAAAATAAATTAAAATCAATCTACTCCCTTTAATGAGTAGATATAAAAATGTAATTTTAAAATAATTGCTCCTCTTTTGATCTGATCACTTTCGTTTGTTAAAGAAGAAAAATAAAAATAATTGATTGAGGCTAAAATGATAAAATATATAAAAATAAAATTACTTTTAACAATATTAAAGTAAGATCCTAGTAAAATAATTCGTTAAATATTATAGAAGAAAGGCTAACATCTATTTAAGATTTTGAATATTAAGTTAAATTGTAAACAAATTATTAAATATATTATATGATGTAAATTTATGATATATGTTTATAAAATAAATATTTAAATTCTATTACTTATGGCCCTATTTTAATAAATAAAAATAACTATTAAAAAGATAGAATGAGTAAATAAGAGGAGAAACAAGATGTAAATAATGATAAAACCGAAAGTTAAATAAATGCAGAAAAAGCAAATGCCTATTATTGGAAAGGTATTTGATCTTATTTTTATAATAAGGAAATGCCTTACAAAAATTCGGAATGTATTATGAATCCATAGAAGCCTACTCTGAAGCAATTGAGATTGAACCAACAAATGCTAAGGCATATAATGGCAAAGGTGAATTTTAAAATCTATCAAAAGGATTTGTTTTATATTTATTAGGTTTATATGATTAAGCTATAGAGTAATACTCAAAAGCTATTGAAATTGATCCATAATTTTCTTTGCCTTATAACAATAGAGGCAATTATTAATAACTATAATATAGGATTAATATATTATATATTACTTTAGTATGATAGAGCTGTTGAGGAATACTCAAAAGCAATTTCGATTGATCCATAAGATTTTATATCGTATTACAATAGAGGTGAATATTCTAACTATTGAATAGCTATTGCCTATCATTATTTAAAGAATTATGATGAGGCTATAAAAGGTTTCTCATATGTAATTTAGATTAACCCAAATTATGCAATGGCATATTTCAATAGAGGTAATAGTATATATAATAGAATTAGGAAATACTTATTTAGAATTAGATCTAATTGATGACGCTATTGAGGATTTTAATACAGCAATTAAGATGGACCCATAAATAACTCTTCCAAAAAATCTAGGTTATTCATTATCTTATTGTTTAGAAAAAATTGCTTAGACCAATAATATATACTCTGAGGCACTAGGTTATTTCTAGAAGGCCATTGAACAAAATCCATAACATGCCAAGGCTTATAACAACAAAGGTAATAATATATATCTTATCAACAGGATTTGTTTAATAACACTTGAAAAAATATGATGATGCTATAAAAGATTTCTCAGATGCGATTAAGATTGACCCAAAATTAGCCACAGCATATAACAATAGGGGTGAAGATTATTATTTTATAGTTAGGAAATGTTTATTATCATTTAAAGAAATATCCTGAAGCTATTTAGGATTACTCAAGTGCAATAAAGATTGATCCAAAATATGTAAAGGCATATAATAATAGAGGTAACTAACTATTCACAATAAATAATTAGGAAATGCTTATATTAAATTAAATAGAGTTGATGATTGTAATAAGGATTACGAATTAGCAAATAAAATTGACCCAGAATATAAGAATAATAAATGTAAATATTAAGAATTAATAAATAGGGAATGTTTAATACGATTTGAGTATGTTTAATATGCCAAAACAATTCGATTGTGAATTTTATTATTATTATTAGAAAAATAAATTTAGAAAGATATAAATGCAATTGGGATAGACACATCAATAACAGTAGCCAATTAATTAAAAGGTGAATATTAATAACTTATTATAAGGATTAACTTGTTGTATGTTGAAAGATTATGAAAAAGCATTGAATAACATCGACATAAAACTTTAAAATAAATCATAAAAAGCTTAAATATATTTCTAAAAAGGTTTATATTTATATCTTATAATTAGGATGTATTTTAATTTTAAGACATTAAAAAGAAATAACTTAATGATTTGATATTATTAATATTTTATATTAATTTTAATCAATTTCTTATAATCTAAAATATTTTGGTTTAAAATAAATCAAAATTTATGAAGTATCTATTATATCAAATTGCTTTTAATATTTTAAACAATAAAAGTTGTTCAAGATTTTCAGTTGGTTTCCCTTTTCGAATTTATGCTCCATTTTAGAGAAAACTCTATAAAATGGAAATTATATTCTCTGATTCTGTTTAGTTGCCTAAAGAATTGATAGATACATCATAGATAGAATTAAGTAATTAATTCTTAGATTATGTTGAGGTTTTTTATAGATAATTTTTATTAGAAAAAGAAAATGAATTAGATTAAGTATTAAAGTATTTATTACAATATCAACTTTTTGTGATAGAAACATATGTTATTTTTTTTGTAAATTTTTAATAAATTTTTTTTTTAATTTATATTAGTTCATTTTATATAATAGAAAACTTAGTTTTTAGAGATGCTTCCAAAAACTTATCAATATATGAATTCTTTTTAAATTAGAATATTATAATAATCTATATTAAAATTTGATTATATTTTATATCATAAATAATTAAGTTCATTATCATAAGATATTTAATCTTTAAAATATGTAACAAACAGTAAAAAACCATATTCTCTAACATTCTGAACTAAATCTATACTCAAAATTTATGAATAATTTAACATTTGAAATTTAAATATTATCACTTTTTTATATAATTTTTATCATGATTCTAACAGAATATCATCATTGATGGAATTTTGTATCCAAATATTTATCATCTCTTGAGTTTGTTCAATTTAAGAATGTAATCAATCTTAGTCACAACTATATGAAAACTCATCTCTTTTATAAACTTATGAATACCAAGATTTCTGTTAAAGCTTAGCCATAAATCATAATAAAACACTCTTAGTTATTTGAGGAAAGAATCATGTAAGAATACTCTTATTCCAATTAATGAAACTAAAATAACTCTAAATATTTCCAAAAATGTAAAGAAATATCTCTTAACTTATTCTCCTTTAGAGAATATCATTATTAATTTGTTGTTCTGAAGATGGATTTATAATTATATGATCTTTAAATCTCACATCTTAGGAAACATATGCAAGCTATATCAAGTTTGGTTGTGCATCCACTTAAGGAAGACTTAATCATAAGTGGCTCTTTTGATAAGACAATCAATTTTTGATTATATCGATTTTCTCCATCTTCGCGTTCTTAATGGTAGTGTATATAAACCATTAATTAACATTAAGAGATGATTTATGGATTATCTATAAACAAAGAGGAAAATACTTTAATTTCTTGTGGTCAAGATAATTAAATATTAATAATGCAAGGATCAAGATAAATGGAATGGCAAATAAAATAGAAGATTAAATTAGATGGGGAAGGATATAGAATAGTTTTTATTACTAATGAACTTTTTGGATTTTAATCAAAAATACCTAGAAATCGTCTTTTCTTATACTAGCTTGATGAAAATACATAAGTGATCAACAAATTATAAGATATTATTGTAAAAGATAGTCTACCCTCTTGTTTATATAGATAATAAAAAAATTCTTATATTTAAAAATGGATAGAAAGTTAATTTAATAAAATGAACATTCTCTCCATTAAATTAAATACTCAATTAAATTTAAACAATAGATTATGGATTCAAAACAAATGGCTGGCTATTTGGTATTATTATACAAGATGGGGAGTATTTGATCACCTCGGATCAAAAGTCTAAGAACATTTAAATACGATCATATTAAGAAAACATAATCAAATAAGAATAAAACTTAAAAAATATTAAATATATATATTTTCGAAACTATTAAAAATTATTTGGAAATTACTCTTGGATCGTCAAAAAATCTAAATGGAACTGTGTAGTTGGGAATCAATTAATAGTATTAGAGTTGTTACAATTAATATAATAGAAAAGTGATCCGATTTGAATAGTGAATAAGAAAATTAAAATCATATAATTTTGTTTTAGTGTGTGTGTTTTTAACTAATGATACCTTTATGTTTTAACCAGTTTCTAAAAATGGAATTGGATACCACATTTTAATGTTTATAGATAAAATGAATATCTATTTCAAAGAAAAATTCCTCTCAATAGTAGAGGGCAATTCTGCTTTAATAATTTCCCTTTCTTATTTAATAAATAAAAATCTAAACTCCGAAGAATGGAAATCACATCAATTTATTTAAAAATACTGATGGAAAATTTAAACAACGATAAAAGCAAGTTTTTTTTGATATCACAAACATATTAGTACTTCAGCCATAAACGAAACTTTAAGTAAAGATGAAGAAAATCTAATTAATTCTCTGCATTTTCTTCCATCCTAAGCTCCTCAATAGGATCATTTTGATAATTAAAAAAAGGATGATAAAATTAAAATGAATTCCTTAATTTTAAAATTTCTTTCAATATATTTCAAAATCTTCTAAGACATTTTTTAATCGGTAAAGTAATTTTAAATACTTCATCGCTTGAATATATTCAAATTCAAATATTTAAGCATAATTTCACCTAACAGCTGACCTAAAATCTTATGATACTAGTACAATGTCATCAAAAATTATTTACAAATCTAAAACTGAGTAATTAAAAAGATTACGAAATTAAATACTTCAATCAATTTGAGAAGGTTTGTTAAACAATAAAATTAATTTAGGATTAATAAACGAAAACTTACCAAGATAAAGAATCTAATGATGTATTTCAAAAAGTGTAAGACATTGATAAGTGTCTACAATAAAGATGATATAGAGCTAATTTCTTATGTCATTTTTAGTATACTAAAAGATTTAGATCCATTGGCATCAATAATCATAATAATTGTATGTATAGGATGCTCTATAATTTAGATAAAAATATCAAGTTGTAAAAAAAACTAATATTAAAAAGTCTGCTTAGAGAAATAGGATTAGATGGAATTTTCGCTTATTAAGTTTAATTGGGAGATTTAAAACGCTTATCTATACGAATACATTTAATTTAATTAATTATAATATTAGATACCAATTATAAAGAATAGGAATTTTAAATTGTATTTGATAACAGCCCATATATAAAAATAGATATACTAGCTTCTGCTCTTATACTTCTAAGAGGTAAACGTGTATTCAATTTAATATATTTAACTTTCAAATATTTAAATCTTACCATCATATTCATAATTAATCATTAATATTAGATTAAGTACCAAATAAATTTTAAATCCATGCTAATAACAAACTTTCCATTCAAGTTTAAATAAATCAAAATGCACATTCTTGAATCATCCTTATCCTCACTATATTCATCCTTCTATAAATTATAAACTCCTATTTTTATTCCTCAAACAACTATTTTTGGCTTTTATCCATTATTTCAACTTTTTGGTGTAGATCTCTCACTGTTTCCTCAACCTCATTTTATTCATTAATAAATAAATTAGCTATGAGTTTCCCAAATTCATTTCATATTGCAACATACCTATTTTCTTTCAACATTATTTCTTATCTCTTTCAAATACTTTCTAATATTTTTTCTTAAATTTATTAAAACTTCGAAATATCTAATATCTAAATGAATTTCTAAATTCGCAAGATATATATNAAGATGAAGAAAATCTAATTAATTCTCTGCATTTTCTTTCATCCTAAGCTCCTCAATAGGATCATTTTGATAATTAAAAAAAGGATGATAAAATTAAAATGAATTCCTTAATTTTAAAATTTCTTTCAATATATTTCAAAATCTTCTAAGACATTTTTTAATCGGTAAAGTAATTTTAAATACTTCATCGCTTGAATATATTCAAATTCAAATATTTAAGCATAATTTCACCTAACAGCTGACCTAAAATCTTATGATACTAGTACAATGTCATCAAAAATTATTTACAAATCTAAAACTGAGTAATTAAAAAGATTACGAAATTAAATACTTCAATCAATTTGAGAAGGTTTGTTAAACAATAAAATTAATTTAGGATTAATAAACGAAAACTTACCAAGATAAAGAATCTAATGATGTATTTCAAAAAGTGTAAGACATTGATAAGTGTCTACAATAAAGATGATATAGAGCTAATTTCTTATGTCATTTTTAGTATACTAAAAGATTTAGATCCATTGGCATCAATAATCATAATAATTGTATGTATAGGATGCTCTATAATTTAGATAAAAATATCAAGTTGTAAAAAAAACTAATATTAAAAAGTCTGCTTAGAGAAATAGGATTAGATGGAATTTTCGCTTATTAAGTTTAATTGGGAGATTTAAAACGCTTATCTATACGAATACATTTAATTTAATTAATTATAATATTAGATACCAATTATAAAGAATAGGAATTTTAAATTGTATTTGATAACAGCCCATATATAAAAATAGATATACTAGCTTCTGCTCTTATACTTCTAAGAGGTAAACGTGTATTCAATTTAATATATTTAACTTTCAAATATTTAAATCTTACCATCATATTCATAATTAATCATTAATATTAGATTAAGTACCAAATAAATTTTAAATCCATGCTAATAACAAACTTTCCATTCAAGTTTAAATAAATCAAAATGCACATTCTTGAATCATCCTTATCCTCACTATATTCATCCTTCTATAAATTATAAACTCCTATTTTTATTCCTCAAACAACTATTTTTGGCTTTTATCCATTATTTCAACTTTTTGGTGTAGATCTCTCACTGTTTCCTCAACCTCATTTTATTCATTAATAAATAAATTAGCTATGAGTTTCCCAAATTCATTTCATATTGCAACATACCTATTTTCTTTCAACATTATTTCTTATCTCTTTCAAATACTTTCTAATATTTTTTCTTAAATTTATTAAAACTTCGAAATATCTAATATCTAAATGAATTTCTAAATTCGCAAGATATATATTCCTAATATAGTTTCCCTTATCATCAAAGCTACCTTTCCTGCTACTTAAATAGTATTAACAACATCATTTAAATATCTTAAAATCTTTTTGATGAGAGTTGATTATCTATTCTGTTATATATTTATCAAGCTTATCCAATATGGCTTTTATCCTCTTTTTTTTTCCTAATAGACTCATCAAAATAAAACTTAAATATAATTTATTTCTCTTAAGAAAAAAGTTAGTTGAAAAAGAAAACTTGAGGGGTGGATAGCTAGAAAATCAAAATTAAAAATGTACACTATGACAACATTTAACTGAGTCTTTCAAGAAATACTAAAAAATTAAATACAATTTTGTTTATGATATTTCCTTTCTTATTTTTTAAAAATAAGGACTAAAACAAAATTATTGGGATTTATACTACCAACTTTTAAAGTTAGTTAAGCACTCAGACTATTTTCTGACATGATCAGACACTCATTTTTCTCAAACTTGAGAAACTGCCCATTTCCATTACAAAGGGCCCAGTGCATAATTAATGATCTTGATTAAAATTTCTAAAAAGATTTTTTTATGAATTTAGCAAACATTAGGTTTCACTTACTTCCAGAAAGTCTCGGCCTAGTACTCCAATACGGATAAGGAATATAAGATAATTTGATCTGTGTCTTATAATTTATGGAATGTATGAATGAGCATAGAAGAGAGATAGGACGAAATATAAAAGGATGGGATTGAGTAGTTGAAAATAGGGATAAGGGATGCCTTAAATCATAGGATTAAAAGAAAGTTAGGTTTTCGTTGATTCTCAAAAGTCAGAGCCTTATATTATATCCTGTAGTTTTTCTACTATTTGGAGAAGGTAAGCTCAGAAATGCAAAAGAATCTAGTAAAAAGATGATTTTGGTTTATCCAGTCTCACATTATCCACTTTTATTCATACTGGAGTTCCCAAAGTCTCTATAATGATCCGAATACGTCTATAGAGAAAATTAATTTTTTACTTTATGATTAATATAGAACAAATAAGGGCCAAATTTTCACACCATTAGTAATTAATTTTAATATTAAAAATAGAAAACACCTAGTTTGAAGATTTAATGTAATAAACATGGAAAAGAAGTTATCATGTTTAATTTGAATCCTGAAAAATTCAGTTTTCTAGATTAGCATGTGTTGAGTGTATATAATCAAATGATCCTATCAAGTACACAACGTTAGAAGATGCTAGTTTTAGATGGAATGAATATTTAGGATAAACTAGTGACTAGGTTAAACGATTTCAAAATTAAAGATGTTTAAAATCATCATAAATCATTGAGATCCTCCAAGAAATTTAAGAAAAGTATAATAGCAGTATTTCAGAAATAATCAATAAGGTAAAAATTTAATACTAAATGTTCTCTTTAAATGAAATTAATGAATTTACTGAAGATATGAATTTCGAAATGAGTACTAAGTAAGTTAACGAATTAACTGAAATATTAAGTAAGAAAGACAAATTCTAAGTTTTGGCTGAAAAGTAATTAAATATTTAAAAAGAAGACCTTAATCAACTGGAAATCATATCAAATAATTTTGGAAAATTACTATAAAATGATTTACTTGCAACTGAAAGGATTAATAAGATCTTTAAGGACTTAAGTTCCAATTTTATAATGTAAAGGAATGGAAAATTGATACTTTAAAAGAAGATAATCCAATTTCAAATCATATATAGATGAAACAACTTTGCATAAACAAGAAAAGGAATCACTGAAAAATCAACTCACAGAAAGTAAAAAAAATTATTTTAGGAAATTAATAAATTATTAATGACTTTAAGAAAAATGATGCAGAATAAATAAAGCTAATATAAGATTTGAGGAAACAAAATGAAGGCTAATCAATTAAAATAAAAGAACTTGAATAATAAAGTAAAAATTAAATTTTATTCAATATCTTATAGAAACTTAATGTGAAGTTATTGTTAAGGAGAAACAAGCAGAATTGTAAATTTGTTAACAATAAAATCAGAAGTTAGAGGAAATGCTGAAATAATTATAATAAACTTTGGTATAAGTAAAGGCTTTATTTCAAGTAGGATTAGTAATTTTCTTAATCACTAACATTCTCAACAACTTATAAGAATAGCAATTGTTCAGTTTCTTAAAATGGAAAAGTTATTGAAACAAGTTGTAATGGTTGGTAATGTTGTATGTGTGATTAAATGATCCCTAAGAATGGTCTGATCTAATTTGCTATTAAAATTATTGAAATTAATTTAATTATGATAGGAATTGGTTTTAGGGATATTGTATAGAGTAAGAATTATAGTTGTTGTCATGGATTAGGAGGAGGGTATATTTATGATATTAATAGAATCAAAATAGAACATATAATATTTATTATAATGGTTAATGTTATAATCATGATTAATAAGATAAAAGTGGGTAATAAATCGCATTTCCATTTTCAACAAATGATATTATAATTGTTGAAGTAGATATTTAAAAGAAGTAAATAAAATGGACAAAGTAATCCACAAACCAATCATTTGTATTAATTTCTATTTATTAACAGACTTTGAATATTGATATATCCAAAGAATTGTATCCATGTGTACATTTACAAGGTAGATGTAAAGTAGAGATATTAAATTAAGGGTTCAAATGAAAATAAATATTTTCTAAATTGATTCATATTTATTTCAATATAACAATTTTTATTATATATGATTTAATGTTACAAAAACTTTTCAAATATGAAATATTACTTCCTTATGAATTTAATTAATTCTAATAATTATTATTTAATAGCAACATTTTAATTAATGATTATTCAATTTGATCAGAATTTATGGAAAGAATTTTATAAATATTAGAAATATATTAGAAAATTTTACAAAAATTGAAAACTTAATCAAATTTGAAATATCATAATTGTAAAATCTTTACATAACTTTTTTAATTATTTAATGAAGAAACTGTTCTAATGATTAGAGGCTGATAAATATTTAATTTATATTAGGAGCATAACTTAATTAACATCATATTAATTTTTGAAATTTATCTTTATCAAGAAAACATTTGCAACAACATTCTTATAATGAATTTCAATTAAAATGACCATTAGTTTTTTGGCTATTATATTGATGAAACTTTCATATTTCCAATAATTTTGCTTAAAATACTACATATTATCCCAAAAATATTTCTTTAGCTGAGCACAAATTGAAAAACAAGCTTAAAATCTTATAAAGGAACTTTACTTTCAAATAGACTTACAGGAGTTTTCTGCCCTTGTATTCTTTTTGCTCAGAATTTAGTTTCGATTAGAACAATATAAATGTATCATGACTAAATCAATTTATTTCAAAAACAAAGTGTCGAGTAAAAAAAGGATAAAAAAAATGAAATCATGAAAGTAATACAAATAAATTCATTCAAAACAATATCACCATATCGTTATATTTTTACCTTATATCGATAAAAAATAAAATTATATAATAAAATTAACTTTTATTTTTCCTCACTGGTTGGGAAAGATACAATTCATAGGGTAATCCTTGGTTAATAGGTTTTCCTCGTTATTGAGCAAGCCTTTAGACTTGTCTAGATTCTAGCCTATTTGAGCTATCCTTATTTATGATAAGGTCAAGGAGCCTGAGACTATCTGATTAAAACTCTTGATTGGATTCATTTCATGTTATAGTCACTAGTCACTTTTTAGCCCAACAAATAAGACTTCTAATTTCTTCTAAAGCTTAAGTTAACTTAGATCAAGACAGGTAGCTCCTAATTCTTAACATAGCCTGTCTATATCTTTTGTCAAAAGATATGGGATCAATGTAAGCAATACTTACTAGGTAAAATACCTAAATGTTTTAACTAAGATGAGAAAGGTAAGAGAATTTATCTTGCTTACT